AGTTGAACCGCATGGAGTCTGTAGAACTATCTGTAACCTAAACAGTCAGGTCTAGTTCTGAATCAAAAGGATGAGAGGTTTTCACTAATTGGTGGAGACTGGGGCAGTGTCTTTTATCAACACTAAGATAAGCAGCAGAATCATTACAAGGACTAGAGGGAAGTCTTTTCTGCCACCACGAGATGATTCATTGATATTTACATTAATAGAATCAGCTACTGAGTGCCAATGAAAAATAATCATGTTGAATCCAGAGAGACAGCTGGGACTCTAGGCTTGGTGTTAGGCCCTTTCAAAGTGCTCTGACTACAGAAGGAGTACACATTTCCCACTTGATGTCACTCTTGGGCAGTTCTGTCAGCCTGTCCACAGCAGCTCCAAATGGCAAAATAAAGAGCATGGCTTTGATACAGTATCTTCTGAGTGGCTTAAGTGCAATTTTGCTGTTGCTTTTGATTTTGGACTTTACCAGCACCGCTTTTCACTGGTTCCTCTAGTGACAACATCAGCCTAATTTCATTTTATTGTGTCTAGATGTTTATTGTAGGGAGGTTTAAAAGCATGTACAGTTCTCTCTGTATTAATTAGCTGTCTTTTTAAAACAAAGCCTGTTAATTCTAGTGAGGCTTGAACAGCAGCATATATTATTCTGCATTTTCTTCTTAAAAATAACAGTTTCTATATACAGAAGGCATTAGACCATCTAGTTTATTCAAACCTAATGCTCCCAACAACAGCACAGGCAGCCAGCAGAGTAGCAGTCCATTTGTAGACTTCAGTACGAACTATTACTGCAATTACTGTACAAAAGAATAATCATTATTTTAATCAGGAATTCTAGGATAAGGGTCTTCATGTTAATAATGTATTTCTGCACATTTTTATAAAACTGGACAGGATGCAAAGTTTTACTGCAATGCACATTAAAAGGACTTGAAAACATGGCATCTTTATTGCTTGAAAAGGGAATACTAACCATACTGCTTTGATCAGCCTGTTAAGAGTAGGATGAATAACTATTTACTTGCTTTGTGCCAATAGGCTCCGTGGTCAAAGAATCATCAATCTGCTCTCTAAACACCAACATTTGAACAGCAAGTTTAAAAAATCTGTATGTGGTTAGTCATGTTGAGTCAGATAATGGCCCCCAGATGTATATTTTTTATCTGACCTATTCTTTATAATACCTTCGGTTTACCTTTATGTTTTTACAGAGATTTATCATAAATTATCTGCTCAATTTATGTTTCACCTTATTAGTCATGAGAAGAAAATCAACAGTGAGTGGAATGCAGTCATGGAACCGGCAGTCAGTGGTGATGTTACAGAATATGTGATGGCATGACTTACATAAACAGTTTATTCATCTTCATTGAAGGAGTAGCTCTAACTCATAGGACTTCTGTAGTCTTCCTTATAGGCACAGCTATTTATAGGGTAAGAGTCCAATAGCTGAAATATTTGCTAAGAACAGTGGTCCAGTTCTGCAAAAGTAATTAAAGGTGGAATAGTCAGAGAAATAATTCATGCTCTATTAAAAATTCCTGGGATTGAACATTATAAGCTACTGTTTCAGAGAGAGTAATCATGAAGTCTGAAGTATTTTCCATGATACTTAAATTTTTCCTATTATCCCATTATATTGTTACATGTTATATATCAAACTTTCTCATAAGGTTTTATCCTGCACATATGCATGAAGTTCAGCTAGACAGAGCAGCTGGATTCTAAAAACAGAGCTCCATGTCATTGGCCAGCCCTACTCTGCTTCAGGGCTCCATTCATTTGCCTGCCAGTACTTCCAGTATCAATATACACTTTCATACAATATTTAATCACTTTGTGTCAATATTTCCATTGATCATTTAAAGTGAAAGACAAAATGGTTTTCCTATAATAGCAGTAAGATCAATATTAACTGATTTTGTGGTATTGTTAAGTTAATTTTCTTCCATTACTAAGATTAAAGAACTGCATTCTTCTGAGACTTCTTGTCAAGTAACAATGCTGCTTCTGTAATAACAATTCATCACTCTGTTCATAATGCTTGTTATAAGCAATTTCTTTGTTCAAAATGTTTTGTGGTGTTAGGTAAAATGAGATACAGTATTACACTGAGACCTATATAAAGAAAAATGTATGTGAATGTCTAGATATTTTTGCAGTTTTGATTTATTTTAATCTTTGCACATAAACCAAGGACTGTTACTCATCTGTTGGGATTAAATAATAGAACAGCAGTATTCCTAACCTGTCACATTATGGGTAAAGTTATGGAATTGCTACTGTACTTTGATAACATTAACACAATAAAAAAGAGTTATCATTCTATAGCTATCTACTAGCTGTTCCCAACAAGAGCTACATTTGTCTTAGTAACTGTGTATCATTGCAGTGGAGAAAACTATTAGGTAATGTATGATACAAAAGCATTTGACAGAAGATAAAAATATCTCCTTTGAGCAGCTATTTGAGGAAACCACATTTTGCAGCAATCATTGCGTGTTTAATACTGGAAAGATATTTTGAAAAAAGGATGTTGACCCTCTTTCTAGTGACTAAAATTTGAAGTTGTCTGAGCAATGGCAGTATAATAATTTCCTGTTCACATAACATATTTACACAACATAACGTTGCTGATAACGATAAGTAGTCAAGTGTATAACCCAAAGGATGTGCATGTGTCTGGGAATTCCCATGGTCCTTCCTGTCTACCAGTAAAGGGTATTTGTAGGAATAAAACAAAACAAACAGCTATGGGCTAATGATGCAAAGTCTTATTCACAGAATTTACTACTCTTCACCTTGCTGACCTGTGAACTTTACATTTCAAGTTTCCCTATTCAAAGTCAATTACGTAGCTAGTAGTAATCCAGCTTTCTGTCAACGCTTGGCTCAGAAAATGCATAACATGTCCTTAAAAAAACCTATTTAGAAATTGATTGTTTTGTGTATGTAAATGTTCTAGGACAGCTAGAGGCAAAAGGTGATTATGCTCTGTTTCTGACTTCTCTTTGAACCCTTAGAAACCCATGGGGCAGGTAGTGGTCTGGCTGCTATGGCTGAAAATGAAGTATTTGGAAACACAACAGGGTTTACCAGGAACTTGCACTCACAGTTTGCCCCCGTATATTACTCAGTTGTTTGCTCATTCTTGTGGGAAAAATTTGCATAAGATTTGGCTTACGTGTAGGGGTATATCCTTCTTCTGTGCCTCACTTTCTGCTGTCAAGCACGTATCTTCAACCCTCCATGCTTCAGTCCTGCCTCTTGCTTGCTAAACTGGGAGTAGCTGTGTTCATCTACTCTCCCAAAGCCCTCTCTCTTTCATGTATAAAAAGCGTGCTATCTTTGCCACAAATGGCTTTGTTTGTTGCATTAATCTGTTTATAGTCTGCTATGCACCATACTCAGTGTAAGGAGAAAAAAATGTAAACTGCATATATGTTATAACTTTGATAGTACTCATGTAACAAGACTGTTGAAATTTTAAAACTAGTGGCCACTGTATATCAGTTTTCCTATTTCCAGCTAATTTGTTTAAAAAATTCCAAACATTCAATTTTGTACTAGGATAATAGTCACTAAACCCAAAATATTTTCATTTTAGATAATACAATCTGAATAAAAACATTGAACTGTGATATGTTTCCCCCAGGAACCAGCTATTTGCAAAGAACTTTCAACATCCACATCACCAGGAGTCACAGCTGGAGCCAGATTTCCTTGAATTATTTTGAAAATCATTAACAAACCCAGTACTTTTGTGTCTCTTCACAGAACAATGCAATTTCCATTCTCACTAAGACACAGTCCCAGAGAAGTATATACTCAGTGTGTATCTGATACTTTAAAAAGAGCAATAGGCATAACCCATGGAGTTTGAGCACGTGTGGTCTGCAGTACTTATCACTCTTCTTTTGAGACAGTTATGAAACAAACACTCTGGGCCAAAGTAAACGGTGTTTCAGCCATCGTTTAACAATGCATGTTGTGGATGTAGCCCGTTATATGGCATCTAATCAGTTCTGTGGGAAGTGGCTGCAAGTTTTCTTATCCATATTAATGAGCTGAACTCTGTGTTTCAGTTCTTGTTACTGTGGAATGTCCTAAGCCTTTGTTTAAAACTAAAAGTGTAAAGATACTTAATTTCCAAACATGGTATCCTGCCAGTGTGGACAAGGCATTGTGTTTTTTTATACCTTATTTCAAAAACTCCTCTGTTTATATGTTTGTAAATCAAGCCACTAGTCTTTCATGCTGCAGCTTGCTTTTCAGGGTTTTCCATGCTGGTACTTTAGTATTCTGCACCACTTCAGATTTCCGGAAGTGTCTGTAATTTTGGTAACTGGAAGGAACTTCCTTATTGCTCAAACTCATGTTTGATGGAAGTTTTTATAATTTAGAAATCCTCATGTGCAAATCTGACTTCCTTCCCTCTAGAGATCTGTGTAGTAGGTTTTTAACAGTGGCTGAAGAGTTCTATTTTTCAGGCAGTTGTCCATTCTTCTTTAGATTCCATTCACATATGTTATGAGGCAATTAGTGCTAGGTATAATACAGTAAATTTGATGGGACAGAGAAAACAAAACGACTGTCTCAAAAGTTCCAAGGTCACAAGCAAAAGCTTCTGCAACAGAAAATCTAAGGAGAAAGAGAGAGGGGAGAGATGTGCCTCAGGACAGTGATATTGAGTGATTGGGTGATCAGGGAGAAAACAGACATTGGGAGTGTGGACAGCAAAGTTTCTCAGACAATCTCTTGGGTTTTTTTCTTTGTTCTTACTTATAAGTACGAATGAATATTATGGACAGAATGAATTCAGAAATCTCACGTGTCCCAGTCATTATTTCAATGGCAAAATGTAGAAATGGATTAAATCCTGTCTGTCTATTAAGAAAGGAAGAAATTGCCTATTAAAACAATTCAGAAAGATTATAAAATATTAAACAACAGAACAGTAAGGTTTGGGGACAAAACCAAAAGCAGGTATTCAATCTAATTCTCACCTGTCATTACTCACTGTGGTAAGGGGAAAGAAATGTGGGGAAGAACACACACACTGATTGCTAATGTTTGCTGTCCTTCCCAATGGCTCAACGAATTAATTCTCTAGCTGTCACACCTCATACCTGAACCTCTCCAGGGATGGAAACACCTTTGTCAGACTGCCCCCATTTTCTGTGGTTTGTGCATATTAACTGAGGGACTTCGAGTTGGCCATACTGTTAGTTACCAGTGCCATCCAACCTTTGATGTTCTCAGGGTACAGACCACATAATAACAGCTGCTGAGATACCCTCTGTTACAGTAGTTACTGTGTATACATTTTCCTCCTAAAACAAAATTAATTGAGTAATGATTTTTGTGGCTGATTCAGCCTTTTATTCTGTTCATGAAATTATAACGACTGGTTTTTTTTAATGTCCTATTTTTCAACCAATACATATTTTTCAAACTTTTTTTTCCTCTTTGTTGATGACCAGGTCTAAACCCAACTTGTCTGTTCAGCTGTGGCTGTTATTTACTGATGATAAGAGTCTGAAAACTTTTATGAAACAAATACTAGATGGACAGTTTCATAATAGACATTCCATACTGGTAAACTGAAATGTTCAAGTGTTCTTGCATGCAAAATGGATGCAACAAATTGATTAATTTATAATCTCAGCTTGCTGAAAATAAAAAAGCATATGCATTACTTGTTCTGTGCTTTTTTAAATCTAACTGGTATATTGGTAGCAGCACAAATTAGCGTGTAATTGTTAATATACTGCATATAGTTAGTAACACTGAGGATATAATTGCCTGAATTGTCTGTGTTTAAACAGTGATGACAAAATTATATCAGAGCCTGTTAAATACAACCATATTAATAGTTTAAAATTATAGTTGAATGACTGACAGTTAAAACTATATTAAACCTAACCATTGGTGCCTGATCTATTAGGACTCAGGCCTACCAACTTGCCAGCATCTTTTCCAGGGATATACAGGCCTGTTTACCAGTATGCTGGGACCACGCATTTAACCTGAAAGTAATAGGATACAGGTCACCTGTGAGGATACAGGTGACCAGATATTTTTAGTTTCAGGGCATTCCTGAAAGCAAACATAATGAACAAGCTGGTAATCAGTTGGCTACATGGCCATGGTCACCATGTATAATTCTCTAAACTGACAAGGAAATTGTGAATTTTCAAGTATGAATGTGAACAGCCCAAAGGGCAGTAAGGAGGAGTGGATTTATGAGCAGACAATGCAAAACTATCTGTCTATGTTTTGATTCATAGACATGAGTGGGCCAGGCACAATGAGAGATGGGCAGTCATAACTTCATTTCATTCTTCTGAAAGGAAGTAATATAATGAGGACAGAAAATAGAATATGCAACACATTCTTTCTTTTGTCTCTAATGTACTCCTGTGATTTACTTCATCTTTTTTTTTTAGCCTGTTACACCAAAGTTGGAAAAGAGAAAACAAAGGAAAAGTAGATAAAGGAGTAATGAATGATAGAAACTGCCTTACTCAGATTCACAGCCCCATCAAATGGGGCTTGCACAGTTCAGTGGTCTAAATTGGGGTAGCTCTGTAATTACAGCCTATTGGACAGACAGAAAATGTCTCTGGAACTGCCAGGCTGGATTTTTTACAAGAATTAAAATTGTTTTTGTAATAAGAGATGAAGTGGACAAATATACAGTAAAGTCTATTGAAAATAAACCTTGTGTGTGTAGGCCTATACTTCCAGTTGAACTCTAGGCTGGCAGGAACCAGCCTGTTACTGAGAGGCACCACTGCACAACAGCAGGACATCAGAAGGCAATAAGCAAAATGACTACAAAAAAGATTATTCCTCTGTCCACTGCACATATGCACAGCAGTGCATGCAGTTAGCAGAGCTGTCAGTGCTTCCTGGCAAACACAGACTGCCTACAGGCTCCTAGAGGCTCAAAAGTCACATTATATCTATACCCTCTGTACTTTCCATTAGTATGTGTAGAACAGCTAAGCTGTAGTACTGTAAAGTAATAATACTGTGCTTACCCAAACAATTAGAACTTACTTATCTTCCCTTGAAATACCAAATAGTAGTGGTTTATATAATGGCTTTTCCTCAACGCAGTCAAGCAGCCACCTTACCAGAAAAGGCAGCAAACACCAATCTAGACTAAATAGTATGTTCATCCATGCAATGATGGGGCACAGCATTAAGACAAATGTTTTCCCTGCTGCAAAGGTCCTTATGAGGCAGAGAAAGGGCCCCAGAATATATTCCAGGACCTGACTTTGCCTCTCTGGAACAGAACAGAAAGATTCCTCATGTTCCAGCTCCTCCAAGCCATGGTGCTTTGAAAATATAGCATCTGGTCCAAAATCTAGTAAACTTGGATATTCTAACTGAACATACATTTCACAAACTGTATAAAAAGAATCTGCTGTGCTAATTGTTCTGCTCTAAGGCTTTAAGGGAATGCCAAACATGAACAGTTGAGTCTGGACCAATTTTGACTGAGGCGTTCTGATCAAGGTTTTGGCACTTTTGCAGGATATGTGTTTGATAGTCAAAATGTTGATCTGTCATTATCCTGTGGATTATTCATTGGCCGTTGAATTAGACTAGTAATCTTTTCCTTTCCCATTCTACTATTTACTGTTACAGTGCTATTCCATTTCCAGAATTGTCAGTTAACATCTTAATCCGTCTGTCAGCTAGTTACTGACTGATTTAGGAAACAGTGTAAAAATGCCTGAAGTGAATGGGGCTGAAAATCTGCAAATAATGCAGGAAGGAGCTATGCAGTATCTTCATGTTACAAAATATTTACTTAACAACCATCTTGAAAGTGTATTCTTTAGGAAACAGCTACTCCAAACAGCCTTCCCTGGTCATGGCTTAAAATTAAAACAAAACAAATTAAAACCATAAAAGTGGAAACAAGCCATGCCATTAACTCTCCTTCGTTTATACTATACAGGGTCCAGCCTTGTTCAATTTAATGCAAGTGTTTATTCCTCTGGAAAGATGGACTTGGCACAACTGCCAAGAATAACAACTTGATGAATGATGATTAGCAGTAAATACAAAATGTTTATCTCATGTTATGTATGGAGCCATGAAGAAGTCATGACAATACTGAGTCGTTGACTTTACTAACTTAAACAGACATAGAAGATGTCTCAGATGGAGGAGGTGTTGCTGTGGAGAAGATGAAATAACGAACTTAAGATGCAGCCTCTTTTCAGACATACACTAAGGATGATCGTAACCATGATCTGCTTTGCCATTTGCAGGACACTGCTATCTGAACACACTGTGGGAAGCGAGGCTTGAGGAACCATATGTAAGTAATGCTGCCTTCTGAGAAATTGTATTTATCCTGCAAAGATAAAAATGTCTTTCCAAAGTAACAAGACATGTTTATAAGTCAGTCCTGATGGTACTCAGTTCACTGTAGATTCTGTGGAATATGCAATGCCAAATTTAGCTCTGGCATCTGAGTCAGTGCTGTTTTCTGCAGGATGCAGCTGGTGAAACTTGCAAATGACGAGCCCCTTTGACATTCTTGTGTGACACATTTTAAGAACTTTTTTACTAGAAATGTTTTACTAGACAATGCAGAGAATGGGGACATGAAATTCCTTGAACTCCATCTCCCTGAAGACACTGAAGGAAATACGGTTTCATTCTGAATCAATTTGGAATGTAAGCAAATGGATATTAAATGTTTTAGAATCATTAATATTTTAATGTGAGGGGGTTTTTTCTCATGATGACAAAGTGCAGCATTTTGGCATTCTGGTTCTTATTTTTTTTTCAGAACTCTACGAAGATGTCATTATTTCACTTATGATGAAAAGATACGTTTTAATGATGGTGTCCTCCATTCTGATTTTTACATTACTAGGTGAGTTGACACGGATCTATATTGTTTTAATAAGTCTGTGGTCAAAGTATTTTGGGAGTTAAACATTCATTAAATACTTCTGTTAATACAAAAATGTTCTCAATGCACTAATGAAAAAAGAAAAATTGAGATTTTCAGTCCATCTATGTTTCTGTAAAATAAAACTATATTATTTACTCTCTCTCTCAAAGTCTCTGTAGTCTGAAACTTAACTGAAATTCCCCTCTGCCAAATGAGTCTCAGAGTTTGAAGGAAATTTGGGGTTGCATTTGAGTTTTAAGATTCTAATCGTAGGTATTTATTAAGAAGTATCCAGACACCACTGGAACTGCCTTTCAGACCCTAATAGTTGATTTGACAATCCTCAGTAGTAATTTAAAGTAACATAAGGACATGTCAAAGCAAGATGAGAAGAGAAGGTGTTTGTTTTTCTAGTATATGTCAGAGACCCTACCACCAGAAATAAAATGTGGTTTGTTTTCTTTTGATGATAAAAAATAATGCATAGATAGTGTATGAGAACTCTCTTGTTATGATGTCAGATCTGAAACTAGAAAGGAGTTCACGTTTCACACTTTCACTTAATAATCAAACAGAAAAAAAAAAGGAAAGAAAAACAGGTATGTAAATACGTAAAATTTACTTAATGCCATAATGACAAGAAGAAATTCAGAGAGAGAAATTTCTTGTAGTTTAGGAATAATGATAACCACAGTACTCAGTGGACCCAGTCTACGGCTAAGAAGGTCAGGCCATTAAAAGTACAATATAGAAAGTACTGAGTCAGTCAGCTAGAGAAGGTAGAGAGTGAGCCACAACAGGTCAGTGCAGAGACCCGTCATCCCAGGAACCATCTGATACCTGAAGTCTTATCCTATATTTCATTTCATACCTACAAGGCAGAATAAATAGATTACTACACCTAGTAAAGCAGAAACCCAGTGTTCATCCAAAGAGCATAAACCACACATTAGTGAGGTTTGGGCAGTGTCTGTGTTCAATATTATATGTGCCACCAAGCAGTCATGACATAGGACAGTGGGACTGAGCTCAAAGTGGAAAGGGAGACAGGAGGCACAGAATCTGGAGTACTGGGAGGAGGTGTGGTGCCAGGGGCTGCAGCACAGAGCTTCAGGGACTGGGCTGAGGTGGTAGGACAGGCAGGGCAGCATTGAGGAGCTGTGCCCTCCTGCTGTTTTGGAAGCAGAGTAAACATGGTGGAGTAAAGCTTAGGCTGGAAGGATGATTGGAACCAGGTGTGGTGAGAAGAGAACTGGCAAGGCAGGGTTTCAGGGGCAAGGCAGGCACGAAGGAGCGAGACCTGGGGCAAGGGAGGAACATGAGAATGAACCTTGAGCATAATGAGGAGGTGCAGCTCATGGCACCACTTCAGATGTGGGGCAGACACAGAGGTGTGAGGCTTGGGGCTGAAGAGGGTCACCAATGGACCAGGTTGAGTATGGGCCAGAAATACAGTGAGTCCCTGGCATGGCTACAGAGAAGACAGTCTCCAGCAGAGCTTCTGTAGCATGGGTGCCTGCTGAGCCCCTGGGTCCCAGGGGACGACTGCCAGGCCCCACAGACATTGATGACCTGGGACAGGGCAGGCACAGGTGTGGCGACCAGGGTGCTGTGAGAACAGGGAACAGCACAGGAGCTATGGAGTGTCGAAATGCCCAGACCTTGGTTCTGTTCCCAGACAACCATAATGAGGAAGGAGAAAGAAAGAAATCACATGGAGCAAGTGGCAACATGCTCTGTCCCATGATCCTCCCTGGAAACACTTGGCAAAAAATGGGTTGCTGTCTCGAGTGATTTGTGTCAAGTGGCAGCAACATGCCTGAGAGGCCAAAAACTCTCTTCAGTGCACCACTGTGCAAGGCAGGAGCCTGCAGCCTGATGATATATTTTTCCTTGTGGCAAAGTTGATTGAACAGTTTGTCATCCTTTTCTTTCCCCCCCTCCATCTACTTAGCTGAAGAGTTACCTTTAATATCTCCTCTGACATGGGACAAATCACATTTCTAAATTTTAAACTTCAGAAGTGAAATAGTTTGTGGCATTGTTATTGTTATTATTTTTATTATGCTTTTCTTTCTCCTAAATGTGTCCTTTTCCCAATTTAAAAAACATGAATGATATACTCCCCATGGCCAGCTAAAACTGGACATCTGAAAACCCTAAAGAAATGAAGCGAGTTGACTCCTATGCGTAAAACTTGCTGAGTAATGCTACCCCTTAAAAAAAATTCTACTCTAACTCTTGCAAACTATTTGCTATTCTTTCAAACCACATCCTTTAGAAACAGAACTTACTGCTTCACGTTGCATAATGTCTGTGGCAGTCATGCTCTTTATCAACTTTATTAGCACTTAATAACTATACAAATATTTTCCAGTTCTTTTGCTTGTTATGTCTCTGTATGGTTATACTAAATGCTGTGTCAGAAATTGCTATGAATAGGACTGTTACATTCCTTAGCAATGAGCAGTAATCTGCCTTTAGAAAGAAGAGGTATAATTTGAAAATGAGCTTTTTTCCCCGTGTGGTGCATATATATTTACGCGTATGTGCATGTATGTGACAAGCATATGTATATATATACATACTGCTAATACATATACATACTGTGAGACAAAATACAGTATTTCTGAATGTTACAGCTCACATGTCCTACAATATAAATAGAATATATTATGTATAAAAATGGTACAACCAAGTTGCATTAGAGACACAGTTTAGAGTTTAATGCCTACTGGTAACAAGACAGAAATAAATACCAAAATAGTTAATTTTGTGTCGTAGAAAACTTAACAGAGAAAAAAAAATGAAATCAAAAGGGAGGAGCTGCTCTCTGTCTGCCTTACTAAAAGCTTACCATATCTTAATTCTGCATTCACTGTGAACCCTAAATTCCTATAAAAGTTGATAAAGAAAAATAAAGTGAAAGTTGGTGGTTTAAAAATCTATTCACACAGGTTTGTGAATGAACATTGACACAAGTACAGCAGTTATTTTAGGACACTAGAATGGAGAAATGAAAGTTTGTTTACCTCAGAAACAGATCTTAGTGTAACAACAAGAATTTGTACAATCAAGTGATCCCCCAGGTCTTATTTCTTTTACTGGTTAAACGGTTCCACGACTAAAGGTATCCAGAAACACACTGAGATGTGGAAACTATGATAGTATACTATCTAGTATATAACATCTAAATACACTGGAGGTGGGTTTATAAAAATATGAACTTAATTTTCTATCATTTATCAAAAAATGCAGTGAAATATACAGTATTAAAATATGAAACAGCTGCTAAAGCTGTGACAATAAGAGAACAAACACACTTTTCTATTTTAATGAAGTACCTTTTGAAGTCATATAACCTTTAGGCCTTGTCTCTTACATGAGAGAAACTTTGTCTAATCTCTACATCAACATATATTTGTTGATTTCAATCCCTTTGCCAAAGGCCTTTCTCCACTGACCCAGGAGTTTTGCTTATTATGCACATTACTTTGCGCCACTTGCTTTGATGTGTCACTACAGTCAATTAAATACTATTATCACTTCATGGAACATTTGTTTTACAAAACTTGCAGAAAAAATCATGGTTCTCACAACTACATTTGAGCAGAGCTAACATTGAAAAGATATGCCCTATCCTTACAGCAAATATAAATACATATGTGTTTATAAATATAAATAGATGCACCATAGCTCAGTTCAGCAGAACTGACAGATAAAGTTTGCAGGTGGCTTTGACCAAGGCACTTAATTCCTCATGGCCCAGTTCCCTTTTCTGAGAATGAAAGACAGGATCACCTAGACCTCTACTTTTCTTTTGTGGTGTTTTTCGGATGAAAAAAAGATATTGTTGTTCGTATTAGTACTTTGGTTTGCTTTCTCCAAAATACCTTGAAATGTAAGAACAAATATAAACACATTCTCCTTTATAGTGGTTTAGTAGTAGGGAAAGAATAGTAAATACCCTTATATCTCAATTTCCTATTATACATTACCACAGCGAAGAAACACTTCATGGAATATGATCAGTAACCACTACAGTGCTGAGCTACTTGAAGGTAATTAGTTTGGGTTCAGAGGCAGAGACAGCTAAATAGTTAAAACTTGGGGTTGGTTTTAAATGAAGAGTGTGTATTTAACTGTCTTTAAACTCTGTGAACCTACCAAGATTTCAAAATCATGATAGTCACTTTGTGAAAAGTGATTATCCTCCCCAAAGCATTTCTGACTATTTGCTTCTACTTTTGATAGAAATAACGTAAGCACAGTATTTCTCGAGGAATTTCAATGCCTTTGGTTTTGATGCTGGACAGAAGTCTTAAGTCTCTGGATTAGGAGGCTGCTTGATCCTTTTTGTAGCATATGCAAATATGGTATGAGATAGTACAACTTAAAACATATTATGATCAAGA